GAGGATTTGGTTGACATAAAATAAGAATTAAAGTGGCCACGAATTTGTGAAAAAGGAGAAATATATAATAGAAATATTAAAGTTGTCGACAACATAGTTGCCTCTATAGTTGCTCTTACAATCTCCGAAAATAATCTAGATCCAGAACCTAAGTCAGTAGTAGAGTGCTTGAAGCACTCGGACTAGGTGAGATAGAAAGTGGCAATTGAGGCTGAGCTGAACTCGCTAAAGTATTTTGAACCTGTAGTTCATATATCCCTGTAGGATATAAATGGGTCTTCGTAAGAAAAATAAATGAGAATTGTAAGGTGGTGGGATATAAAGCGAGATTCATAGCTCAATGGGTTCACGTAGAGACCCAACATCGATTTAGATGTAAAATATTCTCATATTAGTGATTGTATTACGTTCCGCAAGTTAATACCTATGGCAGAAACTATGAATTTATATATGCAGTATATGTACGTCATGACCATATTTTTATCCACGATCAGATCTGACGGTTTTAATTCTTCTGTTGAGTTGATTCTCAACTTCAGCTTTATAGGCTTTGAACATGTCCAGAGACTCAGATTTTTCATGAATAAGATATAGGTGCCCATAACGTGAGTAATCGTCTATGAATGATATAAAATATTGTTGACCATTCCAGGATTCCGTAGGGAATGGCCCACAAATATCTGTATGTATTAATTCTAAGACATCCGAAGATCTGTTGGCACCTAATCTCTTCACTTTGGTCTGTTTTCCCTTGATACATTCAACACATACGTTGAAGTCCGAAAAATCAAGGGAGTCTAAAATACCATCAGACACAAGACGCTCAATTCTACCTTTTGAGATATGACCTAAGCGCTTATGCCATAATGTCGCCGAATTTTCCTTATTTAATTTACGCTTAGTACCACGTGATTCCACATGCATTTACGCTTAGTACCACGCGATTCCGCATGCAAAGTTTCATTATAAGAAGTAATTGTATCAAGCAAATATAGGTTGTCATAAGTACTCAAATAACCGGTTCCCACAACATTTGAATTAAAAGATAAACTGAATTGATTGTTTCCAAATGAACAAGAATAACCAGATTTGTCCAATACAGAAACTGAAACCAAATTCCGTCTAAAAGACGGTACTACAAAAGTATCTTTTAAATCCAAATAATAACCAGTTCCTAACAACAACCTAAAGTGCCCAATTGCTTCCACATCTACCGATTGTCCGTCGCCCACAAAGATGTGTCTTTCAACATCACTTGGCTTTCGGTAGCTCATGCAACCCTGCATAGAAACACTTATGTGAGTAGTAGCACCAGAGTCTAACCACCAAGTGTTTCTAGGTACTGAAGCTAAATTAACCTCAGAACAGACCAAAGCAAGGAACGTACCCTTATTATCACGCCAGGCGTGATATTTTGTACAGTCCTTCTTTACATGTCCAGGCTTCTTACAGAAGAAACAACCCTGATTATCCTTATGTTGTTTCTTCTCAACTGGACCCTTAGCAGCTTCCTTATCATTCTTCCTTTTCTTGCCCTTATCCTTAGAGGCATAGGCCAAATGAGCACTTTCTGTCTTATCTTGCTTCAACCTGTCTTCTTCTTGCACACAGTATGAAATGAGCTCATTTAGAGTCCATTTCTCCTTTTGACAGTTATAACTGACCTTAAATTGGTTAAACTGTGCAGGAAGAGACAACAAAACCAGATGCACTAATAACTCGTCACAAAGATCGAGTTTAAGTGCCTTAAGCTTTGAAGCAATATGAGACATTTCCATAATGTACTCCCTGATATTTCCTTTGCCCTTATACTTCATTGAAATCAAGCGAGCTAAAAGCGTGCTTGTTTCTACCTTATCGTTTTTCGCAAAACGCTTCTCAATTTCGGCAAGGAAATCTTTAGCCTTAGTAATCCCTTCGGATTCTATGCCCCTGAAGGCTTCCGGAACGCCGCGCTTAATGATCATAAGACTCATGCGATTTGAACGCTCCCACTTCTCATGCTCCTTCTTTGCATCAGGAGTGCTATCCGCATTGAGAGGTTGGGGTTGTTCAGTTCTTAATGCATAGTCAAGATCCATGCAGCCAAGAACAATTAATATGTTCTCTTTCCAAACCTTGAAGTTTGTCCCATTTAGCATGGGAATTGAGTTGATGTTAGCAGAAATTGTTGCAGCAGATGCATTAGCTGAAATAAAACAAAAGAATGCTCACATCAATAACCATAATCAATAAAATTCAAATAATGACAATCCCCATCCAAGATACCGGCACAACATTAATATCAAGTCTTTGGACAGTAATATTAACTTGTAAGTGATACCTTGTTGCAATGATCAAACATTGACAATAACTCATGTCAAATAATGAAACTATCTTTGGATCGATTCATTATTCACATGTAAACCTTATAATTGTCACACGCTTATCATCGCAGATGTGTATACAGTCTAAATAAATATTAACCTTCCTTTGGGCCGATTAAATATTTACACGAAAGCATACACACAAAACATCTCACATTCCTCATGAACAATCTACACAAGAGAGGTTACTTTGGCAACTTCTTGTTTCAATTAATCAATTTGAGTGAGAGACAACCTTAATACATTAGTGTCATAATATTTGAATTAAATAATTGATTAAAAAACCAAATTAGATTTAAATTAAAAGGTTTTAATTTAAATCAACTGAATTTCCAAAAAACCTTAATTGGGGTCTCATAGCTTAATTAGGGCCCATAACTTAATTAAATAAATTAAGTATACCAAAGTGGACCCATGAAAAGCCGAGGCTTAACCATAGTGAACCCGAAGTTCGTTTGACTTCGAACGCGAGGTTCGACTGTATTGAGTACGAGACTCACTTAAGCACGAACGCGAGGTTCGTCTGAAAATGAACGAACGCGAGGTTCGTTTGATAAAAGAACACGAGGTTCAACTGAAGTACGAACGCGAGGTTCGACTGAAGTACGAACACGAGGTTCGATCGAAGTACGAACGCGAGGTTCGTCTGCGGTACGAACGCGAGGTTCGTCTGAGGTACGAACGCGAGGTTCGTCTGACGTACGAACACGAGGTTCGTCTGAAGTACGAACGCGAGGTTCGTCTAAAGTACAAACGCGAGGTTCGACTTAAACTTGAGCGCGAGGCTCACCTTAATCCTGAGCGCGAGACTCACCTTAAGAACGAACGCGAGGTTCGTTAAACTTGAGCGCGATGCTCAACTGAGAACGAACGCGAAGTTCGTTAAAATTGAGCTTGACGCTCACCTGAGTTGAGCGCGAGGCTCACATGAGAACGAACGCGAAGTTCGTTTAAATTGAGCTTGACGCTCACCTCATAACGAACGCTAAGTTCGGTTAAATTTGAACGAACGCGAAGTTCGTTTGAAGCGTTCAGCTTCGCCAAAATTTGAGGAAACCACCTCCTTAATGTTCGCCACGTTTTCACGCACGAACCCTTAGGGTTTCAAATTGAAACCGCCGCCGCCATTGCTCCGGCACACAAGAGGTCAAAACCCTAGGGTTTCCTGACGCCGCCGCCGCCGTCGGAGTTGAGGGCGAGGCCGCCAGCGAAACATCGCCGGCGAGGAGCATGGGACCGAAGACCAAACCCAAAAAATCTTTGATTTTTATTTTCAAAAAACAGATCCAGAATCAGAGAAAATTTTCTTGATCCAGATCACAAAAAAATCACCGAAAAATCAAAAAAAAAAAAATCCAAAAAGTTTTCGTTACTGTTCATCCGAAAACATTTTCGTTACTGTTCATCCGAATAACTTTTCGTTACTGTTCATCCGAACAACAAAACTGAATTTTTAACCAGAGATTTAAGATCAAAAAACCCAATAAAACTTAAATCCCTAAGAATTAATCAAGGTGGCTCTGATACCACTTGTTAGATCTGAATCATAAAACTTGAGATCTAAAACCATATAGCCATGATTAATTCGAAGAGATTAACAAGAATCAAAAGAGCGGAAGCTTATACCTGAATCCATAGATGAACCTTGACATGGGTTTTTAGATCTTCTAACCTTAGGGTTCTCTCTAGCCGAATTTCTCTCTAGATGGAGGTGAAGAGAATTAGAGAATGTAACCCTAGGTTAGGGACCATAACCCCTTATTTATAGATGTTGTACTTTTACAATTTGGCCCCTTAACAAATCACAATTACAACCTGGTATCTGCAAATATAACCCCATGACTTATTTAAATACTGAATTAACCCAAATTAATTGATCACTTCAGTGGGTTATCCTGAAAGATAGCAATACACATTGATTAATCATATCACTTCAGTGGGTTATCCTGAAAGATAGCAATACACATTGATTAATCATATGTGCCCACAAATAGATTTATTAGATGATAGCAATACACATTGATTAATCATATGTGCCCACAAATAGATTTATTAGATTAAATCCAACAGTTGAGTCTATGAGGTAGATGACTTATGTCTGTAATTAACAAAAAAAAACCCACCTGACAAGAGGGGTGGATTAGCATTAAAATTGAAGATTTAAGGGCCAAATAAGCAAAATGATGTGATTTAAGGGACTATTTGGCAGTAAAGGCTGATCCAAGACACTAATATGCAATTAACTCTATATATTCAGAAAAATGCAAAAGTTTTTGAGGTTATCTGAGAACTTCTGAGAAAAAAATTTCCTCCAGAACCCTGGCTAGTCCGAGGCAGAAGACGTAGGGTTCGATATTGGTTTGAATTGCTCTCATTATGACAAAAGCTCTTGGCTGCTACTTGCATCTCAAGATTTAATACCTCCACAGCAAAAAATTCCCTGCTAACCCTTAGCAAAAGAGCATAATGGTCTTAGAGTTCGAAACGGCTAGCTCCTAACGTTGTTTTTACTCTTAATGTTTACTGATTCATCTTAACAATAATTTTGATGGAAATATACATCGTCCACTTCCTATCATGAAAGTATTCCGCAAACTGTACAAACCAACTCTTAAACATTTTCAATAATAAGTATCAGTCGTTTGTTGCTTGAAAAGCTAAAGATGGACCTCCACAATTCATCTGATCTCTGCTTCTCTCTTCAGGAGTTCCATTTCTTAAGAACGTATCCCTAATCTTGTGCAATTCTTTAATGGCATCTCCCATCTCCATTCTCTCCTCTGGATATTCATTTGAACACAAGATGCCAAGCCTAAGCATCGAAGCAGCACATTCGATAACGCTTGTGTCATTCAGGCTCCAATCATCATCGTCATCATAATGATGATCACCATCATTGTCATCATCATTCGCTTTGCCATCTTTTTGTAGGAGAAGACGAGCATCAACAACATCTGTGATTTTCTCAGGGAACGCCATCTCCACAAACTTGTGAAGACTATGGCCTCCTACAAAATCATTATCAGTGGGTCTTTTTGCAGTAATCATATCCAGCAGAAGAATTCCATAGCTATATACATCTCCAGCAGTTGAAGCTTTGTTTGCCACACCGTACTCTGTTTCAGGATACATGCAAGTTAGTGGGCCTTAATCCAATATATTTCTCTGATTAAATCACTGAGAAAATATCACAAAACCACAAAGAAGTTTGGCCCATTTTTACATAACTGCAAGAAAAGTTTGGAAGTGTCGCTTAACCCCCAAAACCTTTTCAGATAACCCCCAAGAAGTCGGGGATTAAGTGACATTTCCAAAAATTTTGGGCGTTATCTCAAAATGGCTAAACTTCTCAGGTTTTGTGAAACTTATCCCAAATCTATAGTTTTTTTTGTGTATATGTAACCAAGAGAATATCTCCAGTGAGGTTTCTAATTAAAGCATTCAGATATGATAGATTGGTTATGATAATATCAGCATATAGACATGCAAACCTTTGGAGGGACTAAACAAGCATTGCATATACTTGAAAAAAAAAATGAGTAAGAAACCCATGTTTTGGATAATGTTTGCATGTAGGGAGAGAGTTGGAGTCACAAGATTTTAAACTTCCAGAAGCCAAACTACTGTAATAGTCATATTTCAACCGACAGGAGATGTTGAATATAGTTCTCCTTCTGAAAAATTATAGACTTCTAATAAGTGTAAATATTAACACAAGCAAGAACTAGAAGTTTTCACCTGGAGCAATATATCCAATAGTTCCTCTGAGGCCAACTGAACTCATAGAGTTCTGAGATGACTTGCTGACGATTTCCTTCAGAAACCTTGCCAGCCCAAAATCTCCAACATGGGCAGTCATGTGATCGCCGAGAAGAATGTTGCTAGGTTTCAAATCACAGTGAATTATTGGTGTCCCACATTGATGGTGTAAATAATCTAAAGCAGAAGCCACATCAATGGCTATGTTCAATCTTGCCATCAAGTTCAGTTTTTTTGGTTTGAATTGCTCAATTACTTTCGGATACAGCCAATCATCTAAATTACCATTGCGCATGAACTCAAAGACCACAGCTTTGAAGTCATCACCCCTGAAATCTACACTTGAACAAGTTGTAAAGATCTTGACAAGGTTTCGATGTCGGATGTTTCTCAAGGCTTCACATTCTGCCATATAGCTCTTGGATGCTCCTTGCATTTGAAGATTTAATACCTTCACCGCAACAATTTTCTTTCTATCCTCATCAAATATTCCTTTATATATCGTCCCGAAACTTTCGATTCCAATCATATTGCCTGCAGAGAACCCATTTGTGGCTTTCACTAGCTCAGCATAAGAGACTTTCTCATGTTGCTCCATTATGGGTATACTGTGATGAGGTATTCTCAATGTTACATTAAACGCTGGGCGCTTCTAGGCGTCGGACTTGGCGACCAACGCTTAGTCGCCTAGGCGGACGCCTAAACGGTTTCTGGTCATTTTTTTTCTTTCTTCATTTAAGTGGTGGTCGATGAGGTTTTGCTGAAGGTCAGAGGAGGTAGTGGAGGTGTTCATATTTGGAGGTTAATGGAGTTTGGAGGACGTGTAGGCTATGACACATAAAATCACAATCAAGACCTACATGATGCAATCCACGTAAGCAGATAGTGCTCCCCTAAACGTTCATAAAATCTAGGTGGGCAGCCTAAATACCGCCTAGGCGCTAGACGCTAGTTAGGCGGCCTAGGCACCACCTAGGCCTAAGCGTATGCCTAAGCGGACTAGGCGGATGTTTTTTAAAACAGTGGGTATTCTTCTTGAGCTTTTGTTCCAGTACCATCGAAAGAGGAAAAGAAAGAACACAGATAAAAATAGAAATGAACATGTGACGACAATGATCACTATCAACGTACTTGAGCGAACCTTCTTGTTTGAAGAATGAAAGGTACAAGCTTGTACGTGAATTTCTGGGTTTACTCCACAAAGCCTACTGTTTCCAGTAACTGAGAATTTACTTACATTTTCAAAGACCCCAAGCCTGCAGGGCACCTTCAAAATCATTGAAGGAGAGATTCAAATAGAGTAGATCAGGCAACTCCTGAAGGAAATTTGGTATTTCCCCCGACAGGTTATTTTTCGAAACATCTAATTCCTGAATACCCCTTAATGAGCTTAAAGAAGAAGGAATACTCCCCTGAAGAAAATTCCCACCAAGATAAAGCTCTTCCAGCACTTGACACTGACCGAGACTGCTAGGGGTTTCACCAGACAATTTGTTTATGCTGATATCGATGACTCCCAGTTTACTCAAGCTCCCTATTTCTGATGGTATTAATCCCGTCAATGAATTGGATGACAAATTTAAAAGTATGGAGAGATGGGATATCTTCAAGATTTCTTTTGGTATACCACCGGTAAGTTTGTTATATCCAAGGTTTAGATATACTAAATTTTGGCAATTCCCAAGACTTTCCGGTATATTTCCGCTCAGTTCATTGAAATCTAGGTAAAGAAAATTCAATTGAGTAAGGTTGCCGATGGAGGATGGTATCTCTCCGGATAGCTTGTTATTGTCCAAAACCAACTCATGCAACTTGCTAAGTGATCCAACTGAGGCAGGAATAGAGCCTGTGAGCAAATTCGGACCCGTGTGAAGTTCCGTCAAGCTGACAAGATTTCTGATAGCCGGAGGTATGTTTCCAGATATATTGTTATAACCGATACTGAGCTTTACAAGTGAAGCGGAGAGGTTTGCAATAGAACTCGGTAGCCTGCCACTGAGATTATTCCAGCCAATACGCAGTTTCTCTAATCGGGTACAATTCGTCAAAGATGTCAGGAAACGCCAACCATCAGGTTCCCTAACTCCCAAGTTGTTTATGTTGGAACAAAACCGGGGCCCAATAGAGCAGGGTCGCAACAATAGAAAAGCAAAAGTAGAGATAAAATGATAGACACACAGATTTACGTGGTTCGGCACTTGATTGCCTACGTCCACGGGCAAGGATAGAAGAATCTACTATAAGGAGAAAACTCTGGAGTTACAAACTCTCTCTCTTTACAAGGAGAAACTCTCTCTATTTTTTCTCTCACTCTTCTTATATAAGAAGTTGTTTCTGGGATGAGATTTCCTTAAGGATTTGGAGCCTATTTATAGGATTTTGAAAAACACTATGCATAATAAAATAGTAATAAATTACTATGCTATGGGGCCCGCCCTTTTGTTTTCTTTTCCTCTTTTCAACATTTGTGGCTGTGCACTTTCGGTGGGTTTGGAATATTAGGCACCTGATAATCTCCCACTTGAAGATTTGATTGAGCATCAATCATATCTTCACACCATTCTTTCTATCTTGCCATCTTCATGTTGCTTACGTCTCTGACTGACCACAAGAGGATCGACACTAAGTAAATTTGTCGGTATGGACTGCTTTTGTCAAAAAATCTGCTAGGTTGTCCTTTGTGTGAATTTTCTGCATATTCACTGTTCCTTCTTCCACTTTCTCACGAACGAAGTGATACTGAACTCGAATGTGCTTGGTCTTTGAATGAAAGGCTGGATTTCTTGCCAAATGCAAAGCACTCTGACTGTCACAAAATAGAGAAATCTTCTTTTGTTCATAGCTGAGTTCCTCCAGCACCATCTTCAACCACATCGCTTCTTTACTAGCTTGTGTAGCTGCTACATACTCTGCTTCTGTTGTTGAAGTAGCCACAACTGACTGCAGTTTTGAAACCCAGCTTACAGCTCCGCCAGCAAGTGCAAACACATAGCCTGTGGTGGATTTGCTATTATCACGATCACCTGCATAATCAGAATCAACATATCCACTGACAATAAAATCAGATCCCTCATAACATAATGCAACATTTGAGGTTCCCTGAATGTATCTTAGAACCCTCTTTACAGCATTCCAATGCTCTTTACCAGGATTCGCCATGTATCGACTAACCACTCCCACTGCTTGTGCAATGTCTGGTCTTGTACAAATCATCGCGAACATTAAGCTTCCCACTGCTGATGCATACGGCACTCGAGACATCTCCATCCTCTCTTCTTCACTGCTAGGACTCATACTGGAGGATAACTTGAAATTAACAGGAAGTGGGGTAGAAATTGACTTACAATCTTGCATGTTAAAGCGTCGCAAGATTTTCTTCAAATAGTTCTTCTGAGAAAGCCAAATCTTCCTATTAATTCTGTCTCGGTAAATTTGCATCCCTAGAATCTTGTTTGCAGATCCTAAATCCTTCATTTCAAATTCCCTAGCCAACTGAGCCTTTAATTCTTGGATACGATCTTTGTTGGGGCCTGCAACCAACATGTCGTCAACATACAACAATAAGATAACAAAGTTATTTTCACCAAACCTCTTGAAATATGCACAAGGGTCTGAATTAAGTCTGTTGTATCCAAGGCTCATGATGAATGAATCAAATCTCTTATACCAACACCTCGGCGCCTGCTTTAGACCGTACAGAGATTTGTTCAATCTGCAAACCAAGTTCTCTTTTCCTTTTTCTTCAAAACCTTCTGGTTGGAGCATGTAAATTTCTTCTTCAAGATCTCCATGAAGAAATGCTGTTTTCACATCTAGCTGCTCTAGATGTAAGTCAAATATAGCGCTCATAGCCAGGACTATTCGGACTGTTGTTAGTCGCACTACAGGAGAAAATATTTCATTAAAATCAATACCTTCTTTCTGAGCATATCCTTTTACCACCAATCTAGCACGATACCGCTCCACTTGATCATCGCCATTTCGCTTGATCTTGTAGACCCATTTGTTTCCAATGGTCTTTCTTCCTTGTGGCAGTGACACAAGTTCCCAAGTCTTGTTCTTATGGAGAGCTTCAATTTCTTCCTGCATTGCTGCCATCCACAAAGATGCATCTGTGCCATTTATAGCTTCATGAAAAGTTGATGGCTCTCCATCTTCTGTTAGAAGACAGTATGCAACATTACTCTCCGTAATATACTCCGAGTGCCAAGTCGGTGGTCTTCTCTCACGAGTTGACCTTCGAACTTCTGGAGCCTCGGCCTCGACTGGTTCTTGTACATCATGCTCCGGTGTCGCTTCAGAAGAATTCGGATTATCTTCTACCTGAACAGCTACAGTCTCTGAGTCCTTCCTCGAACTGCTTTCTTTCTCTTCACTTTGTAGTTGGTTCTCTACAAAGATAACATCTCTGCTGATGATAACCTTGCGGGTAGTGGGATCCCACAGGCGATACCCCTTTACTCCATCAGCATACCCCAAGAATATGCATTTTCTGGATTTTGAATCCAGCTTTGTAATTTCTTGGGCATTGTACATTACGTACACTGGACTTCCAAATATATGGAGGTTGGAATAGTCAGCTGGTTTGCCAGTCCACATCTCCATCGGTGTCTTCAATTGTATTGTAGTTGATGGAGATCGATTCACCACATAACAAGCGATTTTTACTGCTTCCGCCCAAAAGACTTTTTCCAGATTTGCAGTAGCCAACATAGCTCTTGTTCTTTCCAACAGAGTTCTGTTCATCCGCTCCGCCACTCCATTTTGTTGAGGAGTATAAGCCGTACTGAATTGTCTTTTGATGCCTTCATGCTTGCAGAATGCTAGGAATTCACCGTCTGTGTATTCTCCTCCATTATCTGACCTTAAGCACTTGATCTTCTTCTCAGATTCAAGCTCGACCCGCGCTTTGTAGGCTTTAAAGACTGAGAACACATCCGCCTTCTTCTTGATAGGATACACCCAACATCTCCTGGAGTAATCATCAATAAAGGACACAAAGTACTTTACTCCTCCTAAGAATGTAACTGGTGCTTGCCATACATCAGAATGAACCAGTTCCAGAATAGCCTTGCTTCTAGAACTCGATGTGTTGAACTTCAGTCGATGCTGCTTGCTTGTAACACAATGCTCGCAAAATGGAAGAGCTACCGAATTAAGTCCAGGAAGCAGTTTCTGATCGGAGAGAACCTTCAAGCCTCGTTCTGACATGTGGCCTAGCTTGCGATGCCACATCATGGTTTGTTCTTCTCCACGGCTGGTTGATGCCACACATGAATCAGCTTCCTGCAGAGTCTCTCCCTTGAGCATGTACAGATTTGCAGCTATCTTTTCTCCTTTTATCACCACAAGCGCCCCTCTAACAATCTTCATGACTCCATTTTCTATATGAGTCTTGCACCCGAGCTCATCTAATTGTCCCAAAGACAATAGATTCTTCTTCAAGCCCTTCACATGTCGCACATCTTGAATGGTGCGTATTATACCATCAAATATTTTGATTTTGATAGTACCAATACCACAAATTTCCAAGGCATGATCATTCCCCATGAATACAGATCCTCCTGAGATAGGTTCATATTTGTGAAACCAATCTCT